TATGCAATCTGGGACCGAAGAGCCTGGCATTGCTGCGCTCGTTAATAATATTACTAAAAGGGGAATCCTACAACGATAGTTCGAGCGGTCTTGGTATATATACACATGTTTAAGTTGACAGAACGTACGTATATATACCGCATACCAATAGTGGCGCACCCGGAAAAAACCCAGGCTGGAACGCACCAGGCTTGCCGATGCGATTATGCGTTTTTGCACTAAACTCACAGATCGCTAATAGCAAGAATGATCTCTGCGCTAACATTTGGGCTCATATTGGCTGCGCTCTGGCTTCTTCCGGCATGTGAGAAAGGGCGTTAGTTGGGATAAAGGTGTTACATCACACAGCCACATGGACCTCCAGGTTTACGATTACCAGTTTTCTGCATGAACACCGGTCGCTTTTTTTTCCAGTAAATGCTCGCTTTTTGAAAAAATGCAAATTTTCAGTTCACTAAAAAGTGGAAATGTTGCTACAGCGGTTGTTCGTCAAAAAATCCAGGTACGCAAATGAACTGAATGTTCATTTACATACTTGGATGAGAGGGAGGTCGTTTGCTGCGAAACGCATTTGTTTCTGATTTTTCAGTAAAGTTAAGTATTTCTCATAAACACCTTCAGGGAATTTTACTTCCAAGCAGAATTAAGACCGCAATTGAAAGTAGAATATCCCAGCGAATTTTCATCTCACATCTTATCCGGTATAATAGCCACTTCGCTACAAATATCTTTGAAATGCCCTAAGTCATGGTGCAAATGCAAATCGGAACTCAATTTAGGTGTACGATTTCACATATGAGCGATAAACATGCTGACAAAATTTCAGCTACTGTTTTCCGGCAAGTTTTCGAGTTCGGTAAGAAGTTGCAAACTCTGACGCAACCGTACGCACCGCACAAGCGTGTGCGACAGCTGAATTTGAAGTCTTTCGCTCGCACATGCACAGAGAATATCCCTGCAAAGTTTCAGCTTTGTGCCTTGCCTGGCTCGCGAAATAGTTTCCCGCCAAAGAAATTCGCATGTTTTTTTTGGGATCCGTACGCGAGGTCTAGGCGCATATGCACATGGAAATTTTAAAACGGGAGGATTACACACGGGATAGGAATATACACCCAAAATTCCTGTCTTCCAGCTTTCCTGGTTGCTGAGATGAAAGTGGGTGACAAAGTTCACTCGCTTCCGAACACACATGGACGATCTTTCGACAGTATGCGTGTTTGCTCGTTTTAGCAGCGCTATAGAGAGCACAGACGCATACTGTAGCAGCGCTAGCGCTGCACAACAAAAACGCATAAAAAGCAAATCGATGGTCTTGCAAAGGCAAACAATTACAGACCAGGAGTTTGCAGCTGCGCTTGGGCTGTGGGATATTTCGTAACGACGAGACTTTCATGGCGAACTGATTAGCACAAATCTTTTTTGCATCGAACTGCTTCCTCTGCGCATAGCTGCTCTACTAGTAGATTATTCCTTATTGTCATTATGGATATAAAAAAAAAGAAAGACAAACTTTGGCGCACATCCAATCGCCAACACCAGAAAGACTCGATGATCGCCCGTCAAGAGTGTCGTAGCGTGAGTACTCCAATTTGATCAGTCGCCCATCATCCAGCAAAAGTGTGCCCTGGAAGCAAAAACAGTGTGACTTGGAAATGGATACAGCCGCGACACCTGGAACACGATAATGCTGCTTCCTCGTATACGCTTGTTGGAATGGCATATGTTGGAACAGTGAAGGAAGGACTGGAGCTCCGGCCTCCATAAAGCGAGAGAGCAAAACGGAGCGCAATTCCACTTAAAGGAAGTGCATGGCACTGCAAGACTCCGGATATTTCAATCAGTACGACGGCAATCCTTTTAGCAAATTCAATAACTAATCAGCAGTGTTTCGATAAATGCCCTCAGTTCCATCCCGTCCCCCTCCCCCTTTCATCCAAGACGAAGGCGAGTGCTCCCGCTCCGCGTTCCAAAACAATCTGTCAGACTCATTTCGCAGCAAGCATCACTGTATGGTACTTGCCCCACAAAATAGAGTGCTCAGAGAGAGAGAAGAACCATCAACATTATATGCTGGTGTGCACCTTGTTGTATTCCATCCAAGACTGGGCGCTATTCACATCAGCGAATTCCACGAATCCGAAACAACGGTCGGGACCTGTAGTTATTGCAACATGTTAATGATGTTCAAGCCTTCTCTGTATCGACCACGCACGAACCACCGTGCTAATGGATGTGCAAAATACGAATCACGCAGAGCACTGAACACGGCCACGCCCAGTCACACATTCGCACCACAGTCCACGCACTCTCTTGAACAAACCATACAGATTTTAACTACAAATAATAATAATATCAATGTTTACAGCAAACATCTGCATAATGTTCAATATTATTTTTATGCGTTTTGTGCTGCGTAACAGCAGTACAAAACGCATATTGTCACGGCGTTAT